TTTGATTTTTTAATTTATTCAAAAAAATTTTTTAGTCTCAGAGCCCCATTTTCCTAGCAAACCTCCCATATAATTTAACACATCTTTTCTATAGTCAAATTCAAGATAAAACTACAGCGTTATACAATATCTCGAATGACAAAGGTTTGATTGGGCTCACTAGTAATATTAGAATTCTTCAACTCCAAATTTTAGAATGGCTTTTAACGTTACCATTAAATTCTTAGTCACACAATGATTCCACACCTTTTAAAGATTGAATAGCTGCTTTTCTTTGGATTCTGAATAAATGAAACATTAATTTTAAAGCTAACATGATAAGGCAAAATAATATTCTTGGTGGATCTATGGCAATTTACATCAAATTTACATAATATAATTATAGAAAAATCATTAAAGTCCTTCAAGCTAAAAATTTGATGTATTGCGATCAATTTATCTCTTCCAATTGTCTTGTCTTATTTACTTTGTCGATACTAAAGTATACGAAAATTAATGCACACTCATTCGTACTTCTAAATGGTTTATACATCTAGAAATATCACTAAAGATTGATATGAACTTAAGATTACTACCAATGTCATCACAGTTATCACATTTGAACGTACTCACTTCTCTCATAACCATAGATAATGCATATAAGTGAGATAACTATGCTATTTGTTAGAATCCAGCATCTAACAACGCAGTTGCAAGAAGAATTAAATGTCTCAACAACTAATATTTTATTTTTCATCATCACACCACTTTTACAACTGTTGATTTTACTACCAAATTAGTTCCTTATATAAAATGTGCATTATACAACCTAGATATCTTTACCGCTCTAAAGCATGAAAACAAGAAAATAAAGAACTGTTATCAATTTTTTTATGAAAAATCCAAATGTGTTAATATTAATGTTAACCTAATTCATAATCAGGTTATTAATGTAGTCTTTCTTCTTTATGTTATTTGATCTCATTCTCATTAAATTTAATAGCTCCCCTAATAATCCAAGAATCCAATTAGACAATTTTACTTTTATTAATATTTTTGATCCTTCCTTTATGATTTAATTATCTGACTTTGCACATCACCTTACTAACTCCTTACAACTCCAATTTTATACTGATAGTTCAGTATCTAATTTAGGATTACTTTCAGCTAAAATGGGAATGGCTTAGATTCTCGTCAATTCAAATATCCCTCTATTGTCTTTACATATTACAATTAAGGATTCTTCACCTAGTGCATTATTAATAAAATTAACTACTATTATTGCAGCTATACTTGCCTTTTCTAATAATGCTGAAGTAGCAATCTTTACAGATTTTTTGATCACTATTAATAACTATAATCATTTTAAGCATATATAATAATATCACTGATCTTTAACCCGACATCTAAAATTGATAATCACAGCTTGTGGCATGCCTTATTCTAAACCATTTCTTCAAAAAATATCATATATAAACTCACTAAAGTAATAGCTTATAGTAATGATACCTATAATGAACAGGCAAATACCCTTATGAAAGATTTATCTATGGTCAACTCTTTCTCTTATAACCTTAATGTACTGGGTAGTCAAAGCATACTTTGCTATCATCATTCTCCAATCAATATTCTACTAAGATACTTTCTCAAAGATGCCTTTAGAGCTCTCTGATTTAATAATTTCATCAACTCATCCCATTTTACTAAATATGACAAACAATCAGTTCACTGATCGGTAACATACTTTGTTCTTAATGATAATAAAAATGCGTTCTCAACCTCTTACCATGCTTTATACTGTAATAAACTAAAAAGTTATCTTATAGATCACATGATTTTTACCTTGTCACAAAATCCATTCAATCAGCTAAAATTAGCAGATCCTTCAACCAAAACTGGCAGATCTGTGAAAAATGCCAAATCTGCTATATATATAATATATGTCAGATATATAATGAAAGAACAATTATTATATTTCTTATTTTTATTTATATTTTTATTATTATTATTTTATTTCTTATAAATAGAGCAGCTTTAGAACTTCAATAACATAAGACTTTGGAGAGGAACTTTTAAGTAGAGAATTTACTTGGTTTTATCGTTAACAAAATAATTACTAAACACATTTGTATGCTAACAAATACACTTGTAATAATTTTTTCTTTAATAAAAACTTTAAATTACTTAACCCATAAATCATACTTTGACTTGAAATACATTTGATTGATAAACCTTTAGAAGCTCTCCATAAATCGCATGATAAGTCTTAAAGCTAAATCCTTTATTAATCTTACGTTAATACTAATTTCAGTCATTAGTATCATAAGATAACAATATTTTAAACTATTACTGGAAATGCTTCTGATGCTTGAAATTCTTAAACTACGTCATCCTAACCTATATCCCCAAAACTAACTTTGTTTGTTCTGCAATATTGTTGAAGAAGACTTTAAACACATCTGGCTTTATCTCACTATTCAACAATTAATACATCATGTCAGCATATCTTCACACTAACTTTTGCTTACCACAATACAACAAGCAATTGCTACTAACAATATTCTCACAACTGATCTAAAATCTCTGCTTATCGACGACATTTGGGAAATTTCATCACACAAATTTCAATATATTTTATTACAGCTAATTTCATAATTCATGGACCATTAATAATTTTTCAGTCGCATTCAGTCGCAATATTTTATAGTAATTTTATTATAAAATATTTTCAGTCACATTCAGTCGCAATTTATTAGTGGTCCACGAATTATGAAATTGGCTGTAATATGATCAAAAGCATAATTTCTATTACGCTATATAATAAAGTTTACAGTCTTATCAATTTTTATTATATTACCAACATGATACTCTTACTCACTTATCACTATATCTACGAACTCATCCATGATATTTAGAAAAAGAGATGTATAATACTTAAGTCTTACGAAAAAAACCCATAATATCTTACTCACTAAAAAGATAGAAAACTGGTGATCTTTAGGATTTGCTAAATTGATTATTAATTACTTTGTGAATATTTCATGGTATTTTAAAGATGCTTTCTACTTCAGTATCTCCCAGTTGAATTTTTGAATCAGTAGTGATCAGGCCTTCCTCTTAGACGAACAAGATTATTTATTTTACAGGTAATTATTCTAGGAATGTGCAAGGTCAGTTTTGATCTAATTTAGTTTTATTATTTACAATATAGTTAGGTTAGATAGAAATTTTCATTTTTTCGTGTACTAGTTTTTTGTATCTTTATATAAATTTATCATTTTAATAAAGATTTAGCAAACTACTGCATATTTTAAAAAAAACATAAGAATATTCCAAAACTCTTTCTGCTGATCTACTCTATCATGCCTCAGCAATCGAAAAATAAAAAATTCCAACAATAACCTAAGCAAAAAAGCTCAACGCAATCACTCTGGCTTGCTAACTAATGAAAGAGCATCAAAGAAACTTGAACTTAATACCTAGATTACTCAATACCTATTACAAATAACGATACTGAAAAAATATAACAAAAGAAATTGAAATGGAGGTAGATCCAGTTCTTTCAACTTTTAATGACAAAGGAAAGCAACCTAAAGTTCTTATTTCACTAACTGTTAATTATGATAAAGATGAAAGTTTCGATACTTCTGAAAACCTACTTAGACCTAAGGAAAATAAACTTTATTCAAAGACAACTCTCCCCTGTTTTTCGCTTACTGTGTCAGTGAAAAATTCTTTCTGAATGCACAAATAAAGAAAAAATCAATTTGACTAATGAAATCTTCAATGGATCATACCTATCGTCTTTCATTGGTGCATCTGTTAGATTACATCCAGATGATAAATAAACTAAAATAATTAGAATTAGTTTTTCAACTCATGTTGATTTCGATCATGTTATCTTAATGCAGATTACCCAATTAAGGAATGAAACCTTCCTCCCTTAATGGTAAATAAAATAGCAAAATTTACCTTTGATTTGTTGATCAAGATCATGGAGATCCTGATTTTTACATCTGCATAGAATATTAGATCGTTCTTTTTCTTTTTTGGTAAGATTACATACTACATCATATTTACTAAAAACTTATGGTAATAGGCTACTGTTACCTATAAAAAAGATATCAACATGTTGCAACTAGATAATGTATATAGATATTTTATTTTCAAAGACATAATCTGGGTTTACTGTTATACCCTTGCTAACATTGATATTAGAAAAAAATCAAAATTCTTACTTAAACTTACTAATCTCCTAAAGGATACAAATGGACGACAATTAATTTCTATTGGTAAAGCAGTCAAAGTCACAGCATTTGTTATATTAAAGTCCAAATCTAATTACCGTAATTTACAATATACTATTTTCTATTTCAAGAATAATGAAGACCGCCAATCAGCACAAAATAGTGATGCAATCTATCTAGATCACAAAAGATTAATTTGGACTGACCCTCTAGTAAACTCTGTTTCATATGTTCAGTTTTGAGTCACTGATCTAACATTTATAGGAAAGCGAGACAAATCTCCAAAGATAGATAAATGCAGAATTTATACTAAAAATATCAGCCTGTATAATTCAAAAACTATACTGCGCTAACAAAATCAGTCTCTAAGTCAGTTTCCTTTACCTATGTGACTAACAAGAAAAAGGAAGTTTTTCTGATAACTCTGGATCACTACTAAAAACTATACTACCAAGACTCCAATTTAATAATAACTGCAAAAGAGCAAAGAGTTCCTTAGACACAAGCATACATGCACATATCAATTGGACAAAGGAATCTGAATATCTCTATCTATCACCTAAAGGTTATCCCAAACCAATTAATGACTTAGCAGAGTTTAACAACCTGACATAATAGACCTTTTAATGACTAAACTAGATGTAGTCACTATTTAACTAGGCCAACCTTAAATTCACAAATGAATGAATTACAACCGTGAAAATCCTCTTACATATCTTCTTTACTTTCCCCAAACAGACAGCTACTATCAACGCATGCCCAATAAGTGAAACCATGAAGGAAGATAACTATGTAGTAAAAGCAGGTATAGATATATCAGAATCTATCATTATAACACATAAACTTGACATCGACTATTTAAAAGAAGAGAACTATTACCTCAAATGCAATTTACAAGTAAATGTTGAAAAGCTTAATGATGCACTTAAAAGTGTAGATATGAGTTAGCAAATGATGATTGCTGGTAGGCAATTACATGATAGTTGTCATATCCCTATAGCTATCCTTAATAGACTGAAAGACTTCTTAAATACTAATAAAGAATATCCACTATATATATTCCAATTTTAATGATGAGTAATACCATTATGAATTCCTTTAATATCCTTAATAATAATATGCCTAACACAATATCCACTCTTAATATAATTACCCATAATGTTTTATCCATAAAAGATCTTATCAAATAATAATTATTAATGAATCTATATAAATAATATAATGTTAATATCATTGTCTTACAAGATATTAAATTACCAACACGACAAGCAACTTTGACATTTAACAAATCTCTGGACAAGTCTTACTCAGTATTTTTTAATATTCAACCAGATCCTAATCACTACAATACCAGTATCACCTTAATAATAAAGAAATATTTTGTTGATCACATTTACCATTATGATGGTTTTTAGGGTAGAATTATTTACGCAGATTTGCAATTCCAAAATAAATATCATATTAGGATCATTAATACATATATTATCCTGTCATATAGATCTCTTAGAAAAAAATTATATTTCAAATTAATCAATCTTTTTAAACAAGTCTTAAAATTATCTATGCAGGTGGTATTCATTGGAGATCTTAATGTAGAGCCTAAGAGGATCACAAACCCAAAGCATTCAAATCATTTTTTTCGTACTTTAGCCTATTAGAACCTATTTAACATTAGAGATATATGCTATGATGATGCTAATTTGAGACTTCCTACTTTCCATAGAAGTGGTTATACCCTAAGTAGAATTGATCAATTTATTGCTCTACCAAATTGGCCACTCAAATGATTACACAATCTTTCGTCTCAACTAACCTATCAAATCATAATATGCTTTATAATTATTTTGGAATACCTAGAATTAATAACCAAATGACTTTTCTCATTGATTAAAAAGAAGTACTTTGATATGAACAAAATGACTCAAGACCTTTAGAATGATTTTGCCTTCCAAATAGACATTCTATTAATCAATAGTCTTATTAAAGATATTGATACTAGTTATTTTTCATGCAAAAGTAATATTAATTTCTTTTGGAATATCCTTCAGAATATTATTATTACTGCAGCTAACACTATAATACCTAGTAAACAATCCAACATTAATATTATAGCTAATTTTATAATTCATAGACCATTACAGCTAATTTCATAATTCGTGAACCACTAATAAATTGCGACTGAATGCGACTGAAAATATTTTATAATAAAATTACTATAAAATATTGCGACTGAATGCGACTGAAAAATTATTAATGGTCCATGAATTATGAAATTAGCTGTAATACCAATTTTCAGTCATTAGTATCGTAAGATAACAGTATAATCATATCTCTCAGATCTAGAACTATTCTTAGGCCTACCACCCATCTTACCTTAACTCTTTCACTTTTAAATTTTCTATAATGTTCTAAAGATCTATAATGTCTAATAGGAGGTTTCTTTTTGTCAGTACAAATAATAATAAAAATTTTTAAAATTTAAAAATTGGTATAATTTTTGATAGTAAAAAAAATTTTAAGAAAAAAAGAAGAAATTTAAAAAGGAATTATTATATTCAAAAAATCATCATGAGAAAAATTTTAAAAGTCATAGTAAAATTTTCTTCAGCAGAAAATAAACAAAGAATTATTGTATCTATTGGTTGGATGATTATCAAATAAAAAATTTGTAGAATATGGATCAATAAATATGATGATCAAAATAGAAGAAAGTATAATAAATCTTAGAATTATCACAAATGTAATATTCAAACTCAATTTGGTATATTCCCTATAAATAATTAGTATAAGAAAAGTATACGGAAATAATACGTTTAAAAAACATAAAAAACGTAGAAAAACAGTATAATAAATTCGTAAATATTTCCGTTGTGACGGTTAAAAATTCTACTTATAGAATTTTTAAGAATTTCTATGTTAATTCTATTTTCTTGCAGATCAAAT